GCTTAACCCTAAATTACTAGCCCAAGCCAGGATACCCCAAACTCGATAGCATGACCCCTACCCTCAGCCTGAGCAACTGACCAGGAAAGAAATAGCATCATGGGTCGTGGGGTGGCCTTCTAATCTAGTTGATAACCCCTTTCCACATTTAGAACCCTTTCACCCCCCTTACATTGAGCATGCCGGTCCACCGGACAGGATCCAACCCCAATAGTAAAACTGTTTGAGAACTGGGGCGGTGGCCACAACTCTCGGAGGTGTCCTGGCTTTCCAGACCAATGGCGCAGCACCATATAGTGAGGCGCCGTTTCTGCGCCGTTGCGAAATCAAGCCAGCCCATAAATTAGCCCACTTGCTTCCGTTGACCGTTCGTACCCGCAAGATTCAAAGCGCACGGTTGTGTGCAAGACGCAGCTGCGCTGGTGGTATCGGTGCACGGCCACAGAGCTGACAGAAAAGCATCCCCCAAGGATCCTCGCTGCTTAGCAGCACTCAGCTTCCCTCCGAGTCTTTCCGACATCTGGAAGCATCAAGCATACGATGCATGCTATAGGGATCGGAGTAAGTGATCGTATCCCTTGGTGTAACCTCGTTATAGCATGACATACCCCAAAAGAGGCCCCCCACATTCTCCTAAGCCCTTCTGGATCACAGAACTCTTTGTTGTTCTTGAGCTTGTTTTTAGAACTCGCTTATAGAAGAAAGCCGTGGAGACACACACACACACACATACACACACACACACACAGAGACAAAGAGTCGAAGAACTTGTGGAGCCCCGAGCATTTACAGATCGCCAAATAGCTCGGTTGCGCAAAGAAATCGAGAACCCCGACTCGATTGCCCAATCAAGACAGTCAGGTTTGTTTTTAGAAGGTGCTGCCTAATAACCCGAAATGACAATAAAGATACGCAGCACGGAGAGGAATTAGTCGAGCATTTTCTCGTAAAGCGTACTTTACTGATGCAGAAAGACGCTTGTACAGGGGTCGGAAGAATTACTGCCACCATCCTCTTAGAATCCTATACACTTATAGTATACTATACCCCAAACCCTGTTCTCGTCATTAAACCTAATGCCCCCAAGAACCCTTCAAGCAAGCCTCTAGAGTTAACCTTTTCCCAGTTGTAGAATAATTGCTGAGGGCCCCGCTATTGCAAGAATCTACGCCAGGCTGCTGGGCCCATGCGCCTGGCTTTGACTTTTCGCACCTCCAGCCCACTCCGCCGCTGGTTTGCAGATACTCCGTGGGTTTAAGGGTTTCAAGGCAATCGATTCAGGGTTTAGGGTTCAATGTGCGGTGGGGTTTAATGTTGCACACTCCTGTCTGCGTGCATGTTCATTGAGAGCTGCGGCTCCTGTTCTCTGATACGTCGTAGCAGGGAGAACCAATTGTTTCTGAACCTTGACTCAGCCGGCATGAGTCCACTTGTCTACAGTGTCGCGTGCGTTCCAAGGCCATTCCTTCAGCCCTGCTGATGAGAGCGGTGCCCTCAGTGTGCGTTGTGCCGCTTTGCTATGGCTTCAAGCCTGAGTCGCAGCTGACACTGGCTGGGTATCTTTGCGTGTGGGGCTCACGGACTTGCTGTGCAAAGAGGTGTTGCGACTTCTGTGAGCTACGACCGTGCGGCGCAGGATGTCTCACCGGCTCGGCTTGGCCAAGTGCCCAGGGTTTTTCTGTATCAAACCCAAGCACATGTCATCAAGTATACCATCATGATGGCATTATGTTGGACGGAGGTGGTGCAGCCAAGTGTATTTTTTGGTAGTCATGTCTATTTTAACAATTACATCTTTTTGGATAACATGATCTGGTGTTATATTTGCTAATTGGCTTGTTTGGTCTATCCAAGTATTTAAATAACCGTGCTTAGGAGTTGCGAAATGAAACACCTTTTGTTCAAATGAACCGACAAGCCATACCCCATGCAAGATCTAAAGCTCCGCCAATTGCTGTTCTTCGCAAGCAAGCCGACAGAACCAACGTTGCACTTCTGTCACGAAGTCTACAATCCCTCAATGTTGCTGCATCGTCATGCATGTGTACAGCAATGCACACCTACATATACCTACCTACCCACCCACCTACCTGCCTACCTACCTACCTGCCTACCTACCTACCTACCTACCTACCTATAGCTACCTACCCATCTGTGAATATTTCGACAGCAAGGCAGCAAATCAAGAGCAGAGAACCAGGACATTAAGGACCCTAACCTATGGGAATAATGGTATATTCCCTATTATGGGGTAATTTTACCTAAAGGACCCTAAAGGGAAGGCCCCGGCCTTGGCAGGTTTGTGGCCGCCTCTTCCGTGAGCTTTGGTCCGAGGACGAGGCCCGAGACTTTCCATGAGCATGACGAGCAACTTTGTGCCTACATATGCGTCATAGGCATATATGTATATCTATATATATATACATACATATACACACATACATACATGCATACATGCATACATGCATACATACATATACACACATACATACATGCATACATGCATACATGCATACATGCATACATATATACATACATACATACATACATACATACATACATATGTATGTATGTATATACAGCAGCATGCATCTTCGCAGACGGCTTCTGTATTGAAGTCAATAGGGTGCCAAGCTTGGCGTGAAATCTGCACATCTGTCGGCAACACAGGGAATGAAGAGGCTTGCTTGAAGTTTGCGCCTCTTTAAACGGCTTTGACCGTTCCGCACCGACCTAAGAAAACTGAGATGAGGGTCCTGGCACGCCCGGTCATGCGTCAGTCCGGTACCTCAAACCTTAAAGCAAGGAGCTACTAGTACCGCACAAACTCGTAAGCCCCGCAAGACCTGAACCCGGAAACATCAAGTCAAGCCCTCCGTCGTTTGCAGAGGACGGTTTCCCGCAGCCTGCTGGCTGTTACTACAGCGATGAGCTCGCAGAGCATCTTGACAAGATGCGCATACTAAGTAGATGCCAAGGGTTCAGTCAGTAAGCTATCACTGAATCAGTGTCTATAGGTTTTTGGTGTTAACGACGAGGACAACCTAGTTAATCACAGCTGTGTACATTGTGCTTAGGAGTATTGTGACTATTCTTTGCCTTGCGTGCAAGTGCACATCTCAGTGTCCTCGTGTTCGTCCATATCTTTGTCGTTCCCGAGCTCGCCATCACAGGGCATCATCATTGTCATCATCGATGAGTCATCACCAACAGAGCCATCATCATCTTCTTCGTCACCAACACCAACATGATGGTGATGGCGATGATCATCATCACCATCTCTATCATCATCATCATCATCGTCACCAACATCATCACCATCATCATCATCACCATCATCATCATCACCATCATCATCATCATACTCACTATCACCGTAATCTTCATTACCACCATCATCATCATCATTACCATCGTCATAGTTATCTTCCTTACCCCCCTCGTCAACGATATCATCGTCGTCCTCATCCCCCTCCTATAGACAGTAGTATCCTATCCGGCCAGAAACAAACAAGCTGCTGAGCTGCTGCATCTGAAACTTGTTTCTTTGATGTGGTAACGGCATCAAAGGAAATCCTCTTGCGCTACAGTTCATTACCATACTAGTAGAACTATAACAACTATCACTCCCGACGGCCGAGGTATGGATGCTCGGCTGCAGTTCGACAGATGCTTGAAGCATCGCCTGCCCAAGCCGTCAGATTCCAATTCTCGTGTGCCATCGACATGTCGTCAGAAATCCAATCATGGTAGATCGCAAGGCAAGCGCAGCTCAGCAAAAATCCAAGGAATCGTCTTTCCTGCCAGAGCTGGCCTCAAACCTGGCACGCGATACCAGGCGCCGGTACATCGTCGGTAGCAAGGCACACCGACTTGTTGAAAATACCCATCGCCTCTTTCCGTTGCAGATGGTGATGACGACCGAGTTACAGCGCGGCATCTCTGCGGAGCATGTCACCAGGTTGATATTACTCACAGATCTGTTGAGACGTGGCCTCCTTGGAAGCTCGCCACGTTCAGGACAGGATGCCGGATCCTCTGTCGAGCCGACCCTGAGGATTGGATGATCCTCTCGGACATGGTGCCGCTGCCGGCTATTGCGCCACAGGAGACTCGAGACACGAGAGTCTTGTCTGCTTTAGCTATACATGTTGTATGCATGCACGATGAATCTGTTCTGCAATAGCAACTGGCTGCTGCTATCCGGTGGTTTGACAGAGCTTCGTACTTACCAGAGATGAAGCCGAGATCCACAATCCTTTGGTGATCTTGGTCCTCTTCCCAGCTTGCGGGCATGCCAGGAGGCCCTGTCCCCCATACAGTATTTTGACCTTGAGTTCGCCGAAGTGCAATGACAAACGCATCGTTCGTTTACCCACAGTCTCATGGTGTGTTAGATGCATCCGGCGTTTTAAGCCTAAACTCCTAAACTCGATCACCACAAGAAGCTGAAAGGCCTGCGCACTGGTTCTGCAATGCGACATGGATGGCAGTTCAGCATTGTTCCAAGCATCAGAGCTCTATGGGGTCCCGTACACCCGACAGGTTCGTACTGTCTCGTTCGAGTTTGGAGTTCCCTTAGACTTGAGGTATCCGATCAATAGAAGCCCTCAGTCGGAGCATGTTTCGGAGCTTCACACAAGACCGCCCTTGAAAGGGTCCTGGGCTTGGAACAAGACCCGAGTCTAGGATGTGCAGTGCGAGGAATGTGCTGGCTGTTCGCAGGATTGCAATGCTGCATCTTTTGCTGTGAATTACGGCGTGGTCATGTCCGGAGCGTGTGAGGCAATGCGGCCGTCTATCGCCTAGCCTCGGACCAACACTGCCTCATCGCCGACTTCTCTCGGCGCTCAGATCCTTTCGCCACTCAAGGAGCAGAAGGCAATTTCACTCTGTTCCTGGCAGAGCCTCGGCATGAACAAGTGCCTCATGCTGTGATCGTGTCCCTGCGATCTGGGATCTTGAAGTGAAGTCCTCACGTGTGACAATGGCAGGGCTGCATGTCCACGGTGGCTTCTGAGGACAGAATTAATGGCACAGCTTCAGATTCGCGAAGCGTGGTGGCAGACTTGTGGAGCATGGACGACATGCTTTCGAGGCTTGCGTCCCGATACTCAGCACGCTATCTTCTACACCATCCTCTATCAAGGTACGTTCTTGCCCAGTTAGTCTGCGAGCCCCCTGTAACTGTGGTTTTGTGTTCTGCATGTGGCCCGTGAGCCGGTTTTTTTGACATACACGTGTTGCTACATAGGTAGGTAGGTGGGACCAGGCAGGATTAGGTAGGGAGGCGGGGCGGCAGGGAGGTAGGTAGGTAGGCATGTATGTTGTATGCCGCATGCATATATTGCATTCTATGGCATGGCATGGCATGGTATGGTATTGTAGTGTACTGTGGTTTACTATGGTGTGATGTAGTGTATTGTAGTGTTGTAGTGTTGTCTGTGCAAATGTGCGTGCGTGCGTGTGTGTGTGTGTGTATGTGGATGTCCATGTGTGTGTGTATATATATATATAATTATTATAGATATATACTATACGCACACATATACACGAATGAGCATATGCACATTATACGTATGTATAGGTAGGTATAGGTCTGTTTTTGGGATGTATAGGAGTGTATTCAAGGATTGTATAGGTATGCACAATTATGTACGGGTATGCTACGTAGAGATACTTACAAGTCTGTGTATGTACATGGTGGTATGTATAGGTAGGTTCGGGTAGGTATGTAGGTGCTTAGGTATGGCAGGGCAGGGCAGTGGAAGGTAGGGTAGGTCCGGGTAGGTATGGTATGTGGTTGTTATGTATGGTATGAATGATATGTGACTGTGTGCTTCAATTGCGTACGTACCTATGTATGGCAGGCGGGCAGGCAGGCGGGCAGGTAGGTAGGTCAGCATGTATGTCTGTATATCTCGATGTAGCGATGTATCCATGTATCTGTGTGTGAACGTGTGTATGTGTCCCTGTGAGCGCGTATGCATCTGTGTATATGTATAACATGCATACACACGCACACACGCGTGCGCAGTGCACCTGCACAGACACGTCCAAAACCCTAGACACACCAAGCACACACGCGCGGAGCGAACCATGATCGCCACACTGCAGCCGCAGCGGCAGCAACCACAATCACAGCGACAACAACAAAAACAAAGCAACAGCGGCAACGGCAATGAATAGCAGCAGCAGCAACAACAACAAGACGGACAAGAACAAGAACAATAACAAGAACAACAGCAACAGCAACAGCAACAGCAACAGCAACAGCAACAGCAACAACAACAACAACAACAACGACGCCATTGTTGCAGCTGCTTGAGAGGCCTTTCCATGCAGTGGAAGCCTCTGAGACCGTCCTGGCCGCGCGGGCCGCAGCAGCCGTGCTGCCGAGCCACCCGACAGAAGTCTTTTCCGAGTTTAGGGTTTAGGGGCCTATAAACCCGAAACCCTAAACCCTCCGATAGTGTGTGGAACATTAAACAGTTTTGGCTTCCCTGGATGCTCTGATGGCCCCCATGCTTCTGCGTTGCAGAGGTGCGAGCTTTTCGTTTCAAAGATCAACTTGTGCTCCAAGCTGCCTGAGAGAGCATGGTTGATCTAACTGCGAGGTGATCCTCGCTGGCACAGCGAGGGCCTGAGACTTGGCCGCAAGACATGTCGGAGGCGTCGGGGTTGATAAACGATTTCTGCCCAAAGCCAGAAGCGATCCGAGCTTTTCTGCTTGCATTCCTTCCTAACGCATGAGTTGAACGAGTTGTACCCGAAACTGCTATAGCACCGCAGCCGAGGATGGTTCTTGATCCTGACGGCTTTGCACCGCGGCGAGGAACTAGCCATGTTCACCTGATGTAGCTGAGAGGGCCTTCTTTGGTCTCGGTGTCCGGTGCATAAGACGCCGCAAAAATCCAAAGGCAAAGGTCTTCGGCTCCTGATTCACTAGACGACGCTCTGAATTCTGCCTGGACAATCTTAGCTTGAAGCTCTGAAGTCCCAAGAGCCCTAAACCTTAAGTACCCTAAACCCAAAAGCATTCAAACCCAACCCTTGCAGGTTACCGAGGAGGCGGCGCCATTGCTACTGACACAGCCGCACCTGGCGCTGCGGCTCCGGGCCGCGCAGGGCAGCAGCATCGAGGCCTCACGCCACGGCTGTAGTTAGTATGATGACTATTCTGCTTCGAAGTTTGGAGTATCATTATGCATTTCATGCTGGCATTTTGCACTTTCTTCTGTATCCTGGAACAGTTGCCGAGGCCGGTACTTTGCTCCGCCTCTTCCTCCGGCCTCTGACGCAGTGGGCGCTGCCAGAGGAGGGCTGTCCTGCGCAGTGCGCATGGCCCTCGGTCCCAGTGTGTAGTGTGTAGGGTTTAGGGTTTAGGGATATCGCGATGAGGGGTCGTAGTGTGCCGGTCACTTCGGGGACGTGGAGAATGGTTGCCATTGCATTCGGCGATTGAGCTGGTGCGTGGGTGTGCTGTGCCTTCCTGATAAATAAATCTGATGGTGCAGCTTGGTGGACTGCTGCATGTTTACTTCGGCCAGGCGACGAGAATGCACACATTCCGCAGTCATGTCTTAAGTGCAAGTTCATGGTGAGGATTCAAGGCGATTTGACCATACTTGCCTTCTTGCCGGAGAGATTAAAATCGAAGCCCCGAGCTTGAGAAACGCAGTCGAACCCGTTGCTGCAACGTCTTTCTGCTTAGAAGCTGACTCGGACGACGGTCACGAATCCCAGCTTGATGCGCACAGTGTGCAGGCATGCATCATTTGCCACTGGAATTGGCATTTGCAGAAAGGAACAGAGCAAAACTCAAAAGATTGCTGCTGCCGGTTGGCCTCCATGCCGGCTGCAGATGAGCTATGGCCTGCTTAGCTAAGGCCGCGGTGGAGGGGTGGGTTTGATGCAGTGACTTTCTAGATGTCGAAGATTGTCGAAGTACAGGCAAGCACCAAGCGTGCACTTCGACGTCGGTAATCAGCAGGTGGCCTTCGGCAGTCTCCTGTGGCCGGTTCGAGCCGATGTGTTCCTTGGCAGCAAGCAGACTTCCGGAACCCGAAATTTTGAGCCAGCCTCGTATATTTCGTTAGTTTATTCTGATTTATTCTTGTCAGTGCAGTGTTTTGTTGCATGGAGCCGATTTTAGACGACGGCTGCTGCCTCGTTCACGATGGAGGCTTAGCAAGAAGCCGCATCCTGTGACAACCACGAAACTGCAGATCCGAGGCCCGTGCCTTTCTTCGGTCCAGCGCCACCCGGGACAGCCTCCCAAAGCGGCTGCAAGGAGTTTGGTAGGGCTGGATAACCGGAAGGATCTGCGTGCGGGCATCAGTTCATTCTTTCCGCCCAGCCTCAGGACCTGATCCAGGCGGGCCCCTGCTACTCAGATCACCTGAGCTGTGCCCGTTGCGCTCTGTCGGTCCGCGGCTCATGGGATTCGCGTTCGAGCGATCCAGCGGCTTGTCAGGATTGTGCCGCACTTGGACGACAGCTTTTCGATATTGCCGGCCGCTAGCTTAAAGGACTTCCCCAGATGTGCTGAGAAGGGCAAGTCAAGTCAACCGAAGCTTTCAATTCGCCACCGTGTTGCGAGGGCGTATGGATTTGGAAACTGTGTGGGGGCCAATGCAAGGTCGCTGTCATTATCCTGCTGCAGAGCTTTGCTGCCAGCTGAGTTCCGTTCTGCAGCACTGGACAGCACATGTCGCGAATCAGTGGACTGCGGCAGCATCCAGGGGTCGCTACTGAGGTATGAAGTGTGGGCCTCAATTTCCTCAATTTGCTGCCGGCATGTGATCTCTTCAGACTTGGGCCGCCCTGAACGAGCCAACGCTGCCATGCACTGTTGCTGGTGCAGCGATGTGCTGTTGATCTTCCTCTCGCTCTCTCTCGCTCTTGTATTTCCCCCTCTCTCTCTCTCTCTTTCTCCCCTCTCCCTCGCTGCTTTTGGCCCTTGAAGATTCCGAGGACCTGCGGCCTCTGTTTTCGAGTTCGAGCGGCGCGGCGTTGCGCCGTGCTTCAGGCCGGCACAACTGGTTTGCCACAGGTCTCATGCTTGCACTGGAGACCTCCTTGCAGGCCACAGATTTTGCAGTTTGGGATAGTTTGGGATCCATCGCTGTGCATCCCACGAGCTCTTGCAGGTGGATGCCGGTCGCTTTCAGGTGGCCCGAGGGAGTGTGGCCACGGCAACGCACTCACGGCGCCTGAAAGTGCAGTCGGGTTCGCTGTCTCCTGGAATGCCAAAATCAAGGGTCACGTGCTGGCCCGGACACGGACTTGAAGCCCTTGAACATTGCAATCAAGCCTCGGCAAAACCTTCGGGCGGCTAAAAGTAGTGCTTGAGCTTGAAAAGTGGAGGGCTCAGGCTTCGATTGGGAGTGCTCTGTGGCGGTATGTTCGCTAGGCGCAACGCATCGACTGGGTGCCACAGCTGCAGCGAAGAGCACGACATGATCCCGGTGGGAAGGTCGAAGGTGACTTTGCAAGCCTGCGTGTATACCATCAACCACGAGTAGGTTTCGAGTTTGGGTCATACACAATGTACGATACAATCCGAGAGAGACGACAGCGGCCGGGACAAGCTGAAAGCTGCGCGGTGACAGAAGCCTTCAAGTGTCAATGCCTCCCAGAAGTTCAGGCACAATTTCTCGGGGCCGCGGTGGAGAGTGTGAGGAACCGACTACCGGGTGCCAGGCTGGGCAAAGAGTCGGGAGCTGAGGTATATAGGCCTAGGTTTCGGCAGGAAGAAATTGCAAAAAACAAGTTGATAGCTGCTCCCCTTAGTTACCCGGATCTCATCGAAGGAATGATGGCAGATTCTGGTAACCTGGTAGATCCCTCCAGAAACTTCCCCTGAAGCCTCGGACATGGCAGACAGGATGATCAGCACCGACAGCCCCGTGCTTGCGGAGTTCCCGGGCTTCTTCAGTGCCGAAGAGGTACTGCAGCTTCCGTGGTCATTACCAGCAACGCAAGATTGTCTTAAGTGTTCCCGAAGTGCTGTGCTTGAGCAGGCGCAAGCGCTGGCTGATGTGGGCTTGGCTGCGGGGTTCCGGCAAGAGGAGAGCCCTTGCTTGATGAATCATGGAATGGGCAGAGGCAGAGTTTACGGCCGTACCGATGCACAGCGAGCCTTTGAGGGCATACGGCATACTGTTCCTTCGTGACAGAGACAGAGATAGACAGTCAGGCAGGCAGGTAGGCAGACAGACAGACAGAAACAGAGAGAGAGAGAGAGAGAGAGAGAGAGAGCGAGAGTGTGAGAGTGAGGCAGGCACACACACACAGACAGTATGCCCCACGAATGCATGCAGTGTTTCAGGACGAGCTGCCGTGGCTCGACGTGCATTGATGTGATGAATTTCACGTCGAGATTCCTCGTTGAGTGGGTATCGAAGGGGCTCTGATTGCCAGGCCAAGCGAACGGGATGTGCAGAAGATAGACTGCGAAAATCGCCTCCTGTCTTTGCCAATGGGAGCCTTCATGCCTGATGTTGACTCTGACCGCACCCCCTCCCCCCTTGTCTGGCGGTGCCTAGGCAGCTGTCTTCTGAACCCACTGGTCCAGGAGGTGTACCGACGCGTCTCAGACCTTCTAGGCCAGGAGACATCCGAAAGCAGGTTTGGAGGATGGCCAGAGAGTGACAGCTGTAAAATTTGTTTTGGACAAGAGGCTGTGACATTGGCCTGCGCGTGCATGCATACACATGCGTGCATCCATCATCACGCACCAAGAAGAGTCTGTCGTTGCTGATTACAGCATGTTGGTATGATGCTACAACTGTGATGGTGCTTCATGGAGATGACAATAGTGGCATTCCTGGTGGGGTGATGGGGGCATCTGACTCGGTGTCGAGCCTTCGATCAGGCTTAGTGAGTCTTCTTGGGACAATTTACTTGGCAGCGTCAACGCTGCTTAGATGAATCGGGTAATTCGGGCTGGTGCAACGTTGCCGTCATACTTGCAAGAGATGATCTCAGTGAGACGTATCGTGACTGTGCGTCGTTGCATTCGATTCCCGTTCTCAGGCATCCCTCCCTGGAACTTCGAATCCATGGAGCCACCTGGCCAAAATCCGTGTGCCAGACTTGAAAGGAGCTACTTGAGTGGAGGTGCCCGGCCGGCTGTCCATCTCCGACGGGGTTCAGGGTTGAAGGGTTGAAGTTTAGGGCACACCTAAATCTCGTCCAGTCTCCAGTTTCGTGCTGTTTGGTTATGTTCGGTTGAGTTTGCAGGGAAGATGCCTTTGGGCCTGAGGTTCTTGCTCTACCGCGAAGGCACAGATCTCAGCAATAGGGTGCAGCTTCTGCTATTCCGAATGGTTCGTCTTCCGACATGTGCACGAGCACGAGCAGCACTGGAGAGTCGAAAAAGTCCGGAGGACAGCACTACCGGAGTCACATGGACGACGAGAACTGGGGCGAGATGCCCGCCCTCAGTGCAGGACATTCCACGGTAGACCAACGCCCCATCCGCAAATGAAAGTGCTGACTCTGCAGCAACGAGCTTGCAGCCCTCGGATACGATCCGAGAAGTTCCGTTGAAACGATCCTTTAAAGCTTCGTTCCTTCGTTCACTGCGCTGCGAGGACTGCGCGTCCTCACGGTGCTCTTCGTTTTCGCCGAGGTGCGTGGGCTTGAAGCAGATGCGAATCTGACTTAGACCGTAAGATCGTTGCTAAGCACAAAGCGATGCTGGTTGACATGCACATCCTGGCTGCAGGCGACGGAGGGAGGACGCTTGCCTGCATGTTGTGCTTGAGATTGCTCAGGGAAGGCCTGGAGAGGCGAATTCCTAGATCCTAGCGATCTGGGCGGAGTTTCGGCTTGGGGCGTTCGCTCTCCGAAGGCGAAACACGCTTCACGGAGGCAAATCTCGCCGTCAAGCCAGCAGCAGGCAGGAGCTGCTTGAGAACTCGGCACCTTGTTGTTTGGACTCTCTTCGCACGCATCTTCGAAGCTTTCCTACATCTCTGCAGGCACCGCAATCATTTGGGCCAACGTTGCCTCGAACATTTGGCCCCCTGGCTTGGCAAGAGATCGTAAGTTGGGCCTCCCAGCACCGTACTTGATCTGCCAACATGTGCCGGAGTAACGCCCACAAGAGGGAAAAGATAGACCCGATGGTCATGACTTATGCTTATTGGTACTGGTACAGAGTCTATCAGTTTTCAATCCCAAGGTATGCGGTGCCGAGTGATGGCGTCTAGTAGGCTACTAGGCATACTTTCTGAATACTACCAAGGCATCCGCAGCAGAGATTTTGGAAGCGGCCCCCTAAAGCACGGCGGCAGACTTGAAATAGCCCAATGCCAGGAGACTTCCTGTGAACTCGACAGAGCAAACATCTCGGAGCTTTGCCGCAACCCGAGGGAGGTGGACCCCTTTTCCATGCACCGGGCGATGCCGGTGCGGTCCGGCACGAAGATCGCTTTTCGGCTTCTTAAGTCTTTTTTCTTGGAGATCCTATTCGATAAGGTGGTCAAGTCGTGCTTGAAATTGCTTGGAAGTGCGGGGGGTGTTCTCCACGTCGACGTGCTTGCAACCTGAAGCCCTGAACCCTGAACCAGGCTGCCAACTTCTGGGTGCATCCTTTTGAATACCGAGCCTGGGTTGAAATTGGCTGGAAGGATCAGGGCTTGTTGGAGTTGCAGTTTAGGTCTTAAGGCTTTGGGCTTGAAGTTTGTGATGCTGCTCGCTTGCTGTTCAGGTGCTGCCGAGAGGTACTGCTCTTCGTGAGACGGTGTGCAATCGAGCGCGAGGCAATTGCTGGTCCCTGGGGGTTCCACCTACGTAGCGGCATGAGTCTGAACGAAGTCCGCTTCAGTCAGGGATCCTTGCAAATAGAGGTGCCTCAATCGAGCGGGTGGCAGATGGTGGCAGTTTTTTTCAGGGCCGCCATTGTCTACGCGTAGGCAGCGTGTACATAGTGCATCCCGGCTGCACCAGACAAAGTGCTGTGCTCGTCTGCCGTTGATCGTGCAGGGACCATCGCTTCTTGCAGAAAAGTTGTTCTTCTCCGAGACCCTTCCAGAAGAACACCCTGTGATTTTAGCTCAGATGATTTGGGATTTGGACCGGTGCTCCAGAATCAATGCATGACACGGGCGCAAGACGGACCTCCTGCCTCCTGCCTTCCCCGGTCTTCTCACACAACCTACATTGTAACAGGAAGACGATTGACACAGCATCGTAGGTGTTTCACGATGTTTCGGGTCGCCGAATGGAACTTCACACAAAGCCCGACCTAGGTCCCTCAGAGCGTGGTCCTGTCCTGCGACTCCCCGGCTTGTCTCCAGCTCAGTTTTGGTTTTGCTTCTCTTCGTCTGCTTTGGTTGTCCTTTCGATTGCCTCAGGCTGGTTTGAGCTTTTAATCGTTTGAGTCCAGCACCTGCGCTCTGTCGTAGATCGTAGGCCTCACGCCCGTTCTGGCTGCGAAATTCCCATTCAGGCCATGCTGTCGCCCTGGTCTCTGCACCTTGGGAGGGTCAGCGAAATGTTCTCGAGATCGCCGGGGGGCCTAAGAATGCAAGGTGTTTCTTTCACTGGCACAGAGAATCAAAGGTGTTCACGTCGCTTATCCCAGCCTTTCCATCAGCGCACAGGTGCTTCCTCCGAACATGGACAAGATCACTGACACGGCGGGGGCACGTGAGGGATGCTCCAACTTAGGTCCGCTTCGAATCTTTCCGGCCCACCCTTGATTTTGTCCAGAAGTTCCCCCGAGTTCTAAGAATTCTACGCAAATTCGGAGAGGCCTTAGCCATCCTGAACCTTTATTGAACCGTCTCTTCAGCTGACTTGTGAGGAGTCGGAAGCCACACAGACCTTCCTTGCCACTCTAAGGCTGATTTAAATTTGATGCATCGCTTCTCGCAGAGTAAGTACAGCCTTTCACTCAGACCATGATGCGTAGTATGCTGCCGGTATATCTTGGTTATATCCTCAGGAAGCCCGAGCTTGGCTTGGCTTGGCGTGCAGGTGATGCACACCATCGTCCTTGGCGGCCTCAGCGGCAGGGAGCCCAGCAGCTTCGACTTCAAGCTGGAGCCTAGTGACGGTGCCCAACTGCAGGCTCTAGCTTTGCGCTGCCAGCTGGCGGATTCATGTCCGGAGCCCCGTTATCTCCAACTCTGACAGCCCAAGCTCAAGGGGTTCGGCATCGATTTTGGGAAGGGCGAGGTGCTTCAAGTCGACTGGCGCAAAGGTTTCCTCAGGACTTCTGTCGCTCGTCGTCTCTGCTGCGAAGAGTTCCTTTCCTGAGCCTGCCTTTCTGCCCGAGCGAGACAGTAGGTGCAGCAGAAGACAGGCATCAGCTCCGGGATACTTGAGATTGCCGCGCGATGGAGGGGGGAAGTACCTCCGACGCCATGCGCAAAGCCTTTGACGACCTGAGGGAGGTCTGCGTGTCGATGCTGCAGC